AAGTGCTTCGTGCGTCGCTCGTCGTCGTCGTCGCGAGCAGTGCACCGGTTTTCTGCCCCGTCAAACCCTCCGCGTATCTCTCGCCGTGTCTAGACGCCGTAAAGGTCGGTTATCTAAACTGCCCCATCGAGCCTCCCTTTTCATCCCTCTCTCCATCACATCAAGCTTACTCCCTATCGCATCAAAAGATCACTACTAATCTTTCGATCAGCCCTCCTGTTCTCGCTTCTCGTGCCACGGCGCGAGAAAGATCGATATGCGCGCGGTGATAAATTCAAAATCGCGCGAAGCTTTTTCTTGAAGAACTTGGCCAGTTATCGAGTCGAAAATACATGTTTTTTGTTTCCGTGTTAAAATCGATTGTTGTAAAAATGTAATAGACAACCGCGATGGTAACGAGCAGAAAAAAAACATAAAATATAATATTCGCGGTGTTATCACGGAAAAAACAATGTCCGTCACATATATAACAACTGAACCAGTTCGCCGCGCGGATCTCTCAGCTGTGATTTTTCTCCGCGAGAATTTGCGACGACGACGACGACGACGACGACGAAAGACATCGTTGTTCCTTACTCCGTCAAAGACAATAAAGAAGCGACTAATGGTGCGCCGTTATTTCTCTCCACTTCTACTTCTCTCTAACGTTCGCATCACTAGTTTCTCTTTACGTTTCTCGGCGAAAATGATAAGTACTTTAGCTTTTTTTTTTTTTTTTTATAGATGCCGCGAAGTACGTTGCCAAGTAGCGCGAGCACAGAAACTTGAAATATTCGACATCACAGTGACGTAAGCAACACAAAGAGAATCCGTGAAAACGTTCAAATCCATCTCTTTTGCTTTTACTGACATTATATCGCTCTGAATCGATCGTATCAGATCGGTTTCTGAGTTCGCAGCTCTCTAAAGCAGCTCTTCCAGCAACTTTTATTATTGCTTCGAGCGTATACGAATAAGTCCCGCGTTTTTTGCAACTACTGTCTGTTCTTTTCGGCCTACACACACACATACACACAAAACGCGTTTACAAACAAAATACATTTATTAACGTTCACAAGCATTTGAATTTTTATATTTTTGAACTAAATATCAGGATCAATTTAACCCAATATGCCGAACATATTTGCAAATGTTATACGTATTTTTTAGAATTCTGCGCGGAGATTGCGAGAAATCCGGTCTCGAGTTCTGACCAAGATGTTTCTTTTTCGCAATAGAATTTTTAAATTTCACAGAGAAGTAAATGTATATTTTACACAAACAAAATGCACAGCGAGTGTCTTATATGAGTTTTCGAATTGAATCTAACTCGAAAATCTCGTGTATCAATTCACACGTTTAAAAAAATGTTTACATATTTGCACGTACGTTCGGCATATTGGGCTCGCATCAATCCTAACAACTTAATTGATCATTTCCCGAATTTCATATTTTTCAAACATTTAAGAAGGTTATACAAGCAATACGGTATATGTTGTATTGTATTATATTTTCATTGAAAGTCTGTAGAAAAAAGAATATGGAAAATTACAGCAAGCGAATTTGAGAATAATTCTGAGTTAAAAATATTTTACTAATTAAATTGCAGTTTAAAAATATTTTGATATAAAATTGAAAAACTTAGGACGCTCCATAATTTTAGCCGGCGTAATTAATAATTAGAAAATACTCGTTAAGAAGCCAAACAAAATTAAAAAACTAATAAATATATGTAAATCCGGTCATTAAGAGCCGATCGCAGGATGTTGTGCGGAAAAATGTGTGCGTATATATATGTACGTGAATGCATATATATAAATGTATACATACATATATATACGCACATTTTTCCGCACATCGTGCGATCGGCTCTTAATGACCCGACTTACATATATTTATTAGTTTGATACTTCAAGAGCCCGAGATGATTCTTTATTAATTGTTAAAATTAAAAAAGCTATACGAGCAATATACTGAATGTTGATGTATTTTATCAAATTTGCGTAATGTAATTTCCCTATTCTTTGTTTTTATACCTAGACTTTCACTGAAGAAGCTTCAAACTAAGGTCGAAACGTCTAATAGTAGTTTTCAGTAAAAATCAATACGTCACCATCCAGTATATGGCTTCAGTATAACTTTCTTAACTCTTTGTAAACTGACATGGGTCTCCCAGACCTATTCAAAAAGCATTTTATTTTTGAAAAAAATTGTCAGGCTTTGTTTAAACGCTTATATCTTCGAAACATAAAGATTTTTTTAATTTTTTTATCAACGCAGAATTGTTTAAACTTTTAATTCTAAAAAATATAAAATTGAAAAAATATTGATTTTTCGCGGAGATATTCGATTTCAAAGTCACGGATTTCACAGACGCAGTCTGTCTAACAAGTAGTAGGTTGTTTTTGAAGCCTGTCTAGGAAATGTTAATTGTGTGAATTTCTAATGAGTACATTTTAATTATTATTTATATTTTTCCTTGTAACAAATAACAAAGCAATACGTTGCACAAACAAAACGGCAGCTTTGTATTTGTATAATTTTCTTCGTGAAATACACAAGTAAATTGGCGAGATGAATGCGAAACAATTGAGTTGACGTGCGTAACAATTACGAGATGTGCGAGACAATATTATTTTTAGAGAAAAAAGAGATCGCACCGACTGACAACGTATATATCTTTATATTCCACCTTTGCCTAAAGTTCTCTCACGAGATTAATGCGGTGGCCTTGTCTACATCTCAAAGAATCTTTAGCGAAGTTTGCCGGAGATCGGATGGTGCGGTATCCTTCCGGAACACGCCGCCTTTAATTAATTCTATCCGCGGCGCGCTTTGATTTCGCGCGCGTCAAGCTGTAATTGAAACATTATTCCCATAACACTCGCGTTATAACGCATTTAAAAAATTCCCAGTGGTAATTTTTTATAATTGAGTTAAGTCTCTTTCTCCCTCCGAACTTCGGTTCTCTATTCAACGAAATAAAATTATATCGTCGAGATGCACGTTGCCGATTTTTGTTCAAACTACGCGCGACAGCCGAAACTGACAACCACGCGAAACTTACGAAGACGTGTACAATATTTTGTTGTTCTCGCTAATTCTACAACGATAGAATTTAATCTCAGAATCCGAACTTCTTCTCGGACGCGGAGACAATTATTAGATTCAAGTTGGGGAAGTGGGTCGTGGTAAATTACATTACTCCGAGCTTTTGTAGCTCGCGCAATTTCATAAATCAATAAAGAACGGGGAGAGGATGAAAATTTATAGGTCTTGCTCCTGGTTTTTATTACATTTTTACGACTTGTAAAATTTTATTTTTCAAGATAAATGGCACCTTAAAAAATTTTGTTCCAACAACATTATTACGCGCGAGCGAAAAACGATCGCGCGAGCGATTCGCGAACGTTAACGCGCGGCTTCGTTGGATTTGTCATCGGCAAAAAGAAAGCCGAGTGAAAATTTCGCGCCAATTCTGAGAACTTTCTTTCGAAACCGCGTCTCGACCGTTCGTCTTTGTCGGCCGCTGCATCGAAATTATTTGCCGGCTTTAATCTTGTCCCGCAGCGCAGTGACAAAGTATCGCCCGCAAGTGCACACCCCCATTACTCGAATCACCGGAGACGCGTCTGTCCGACGGTATTTCACGGTAATACCACCTGCATCGAGCCATCGTTCGGGCCAATGGTTGGACACTTACGTAACATTAAAGCCGCCGCCGCCGCCGGCTTTAATCTTGCTGCATGTCGCTCGGATGCGTTTCGCGCAGAAGACAATATAGGAACTACAAGCGCACCGAGAGAAATTATTCCGGACCGGGCAAACTACTTCTGCATTGGACACATTAGCACACACATTTCCGCAAGTTCAGCCGCGGAACTTGCAGCGACGGCTGGTTTCACGGAGCCAAAAAGTCCAATTGTTGAAAATTTTCCGTGAAATATGACGACAAATAGTATGTCATCATTTCTAATCTAGAAGTGTGAGAATTTTGTGCAAAACAAGTTTCGCGTATAATTCAGAGACACACAGTCATGAACTACACGAAAATGATAATACAAAAGGAGCGAATATGAAATGTTGCTTAATTTCGAGAAGAGAATCGTGTCAAAGGTAGAGAGACGAGAGAGCAATCTCTCTCTTCTGGGTCAGAATAGGAATTTCATCGACCTACTTCCGAGGTAGCCCCCGTTACGTACATACGTAACAGGGGTTACCTCGGAACACGGTTCTACAGGTCGCCATCGACAATTCGGAGAAACGTTTACGCCGACAAAAAAGGTGCGTTTCCAAGAGAAAACAACGGAAACACCTCGTTAGTGTGTTTATAGGCGCAAATAGCTGCTGTTTAGCCTCAAGCGAGCGGGAAACCCGAATCGAGAGAGTGTATTACGCTATAGTTTGATTTCTTGATTTCTTTCTTTGACTGCGTGTTCTTTTTTACTCTGCAACGTGGTGCACATACATAGACATATATATATACATATATATAGATATATATATATTGACACATATATATGTATATATATATTTATATATATAAAGGCGATATATATTTCGCTGTGTTCTAGTTGCTGCTCTAGAGTGTCCTGTTGTTGCGGACCACCACAGTCGACGCTCCGTTTTTTCCTTGACAGTTTTTTAGATCTCTTGTGCTCCCTCTGCGCTTCTGCGAACACCAAGTGCATCTCAAGACATGCACTGAAAGTTTATTTCAGAATTATATATATATATATATTATATATATATTATTGTTCGTGATTAAGCAGTTAATCGCGAGCGCGCGGAAGAAGTTGAAGAAGCGAATTAAAATCAATCAATTGTCAAAAATCTCTTCTAGAGACTTTTTCTATACAAAACACAAAAAATCTCGTATGCTCTTTGCTGACGACTCTTCTCTCTGCGCGCTCGCAATTCAGAGATGAATTACGTGGGCATGGCGTTCAAACGTTATACAAAACGACGGCGAGCTTTCCGCACACGCGAGCTTAATGCCAGTCGCTTTTTCTGTCACATAGGTCGACCTAAGACATATGGACGAGAAATCCGGTAGCAACGTGGTCGAGGTGGGAGTCGATCTGTCCGAATTCTACATGTCAGTGGAATGGGATATTCTAGGAGTGCCTGCGGTTCGGTAAGAATGTGCTACGGTTTTATGAGAGAACTTTATATTTGTTTTAAAATTTTGTTCAAGAACACCGAGCTGTGTGTATTTTTTTTTTTTTTTCGCAAGGGCAAACACTATTCGCATTTCTATAAAGATGGTTCTCTGGTTATTTTTATACCGACGTTTCGTGAACGTTTACTTTACTTTCGTCACAGTTTACTTTATCAGAGTTTCGAGAGCAACCTGATATCAATATATCACAAAACGTCGGTACAAAAGTGACACTAACGCGGTTTAAACTCTTCCGAAAACCATTTTCAAGAATTTTTGCACCACGCACCCAAGCGAGAGCATCAAATAGATACTTCGCATTTTTGCTGTATCGAGGAATGCGCTACGGAGGATCTTTGTGAAGTTAATTTATTTTGTTTGGAATTTTGTGAAAAATCTATCTCGGATCTAATCCGCAAGATTCTCGAACGCAGCAAAGAAATCTCGAAGAGAGCGTATGAAGAAAAAGCGTTCTCTCTCTCTCTCTTCCTCTCCTCTCACGCCTTCTTATGAAATGTTCTCTTTCGTATTCAGTATGCTCCCCTGGCATAAGCACGTCGCTGCTTGCGGGCATGATTCGATTCTCGATATTCAGCAGCGTGCCGCGATGCGGAGAACCAGCTTCAGCTATCGGAAGCTTCTGTGGTGGTAGCGGAGTGGATGTTTTCACAGGCGCTTGCCACTAGAGATGTTCGTTGTGATATTTCGAAATATTGGTATCTTTACGCTTTCAACACTTTCGGCATCAATATCTTATCTTCAATATCACTCCCGTCGTATCTAAATATCGAGATCGTAAAACTATCGATTGCTTAATCAATGTAAACATTTCTGTTTGTTGGAATCTTCTAGTGAAAAACTTCTAATTAGTAAAATAACCACAAAAGTGCAATCTCGCTACGTATCTTTGATTGTCACATTCGTTATTGCAGTTTTTGCGATTAGTGCAATCGCTGAGATAACAACAATTTCTTTAAGTCAACGAGAATATTAGAAATCATGAGGATTAAAAATAACTCGAATTTATTCACGAGAGGCAAGACGCCGCCAATCTCTCGCTTCGAAGCCATCGACGTGAGAAGGAAAAAAAGAGAGGAGAGGAATTACCAACTTAGAGGGATCTTCTCAGAGTTATACGACCTCGCGAAACTTTCCTCATAACTCTCGCCCGTGACCGACCCTACTCACTTAAACCGTACTTATTGTTGGGTACAAACACTCTCTCTCTCTCTCTCTCTCTCTCTCGCTGCCCACCCGGAATAGTGAAATTTCTTTATTGGTAATTTTTTCTCTTTTTTTTATTTCATCGTAAAATCCATCCCGATTCCTCTTTTTGTTCGTCGAAAAAAATTGACGATAATTAACTACTTGCTTTAATATATATCCGCGTTTGCTTACAGAAACGAGAAATTTTATACCTGCTGCGATGAACCGTATTTGGACATCACGTTCAACATCACAATGAGGAGGAAGACTCTCTTCTACACGGTGAACATCATCATTCCCTGCATGGGGATTTCATTTCTCACCGTTCTCACGTTTTATCTGCCCAGCGACAGCGGCGAAAAGGTAAGAGCACATGTATACATTCCCGACTAGCAAATATTTGTATATATTATTATTTTCATTCTCGCAATTTTACTCGGCTCCGCCATAATTCCCACCTAAATCTACTTACGTCTTGTAGCGCGAAAGATATACTTTTTAATCTCGCAGTTTTCCTCCTTGTTTGTTAAAAAGAACTCTTAATGAAAAAATATTGCAAACTGCTTTTTCTTTTATATTATTTTAAACTTTTCGCAAAGAAGAGTTTCGGCTTTCTCGTAATATTTTTGTCGAGAGTTAAATCGTAAAAATTTCACGAAGATTTCGCGAATTGGTCGCGGTATTTCGTAGTTTCCGGCATTATTTCGAGAAATGCAGCGCTTCCAGATAAATGCACCTGAGAGAAAAAGAATAAAAGAAAGAGAGAGAGAGAGAGAGAGAGAGCCACGATTAATTTCTTTATTCTTGGAAGCGACCACGGGGCGGACGTGCGTGAAATATGCGGCGAATTAGTTCTCTTCCGCGTGTCTGTCGGTCTCGTTATTTTCTCTTATCTGTAGGCAAATGCTCGTAGGTAGTTACTTTTGGCTCGACAGCGCCGGGTGATTTTTCATTTCCGCTCTTGCATTCCCCTCTCTCTCTCTCTCGGTCGACTTTGCACCATCGCGATTTCCTCCTCGCCTAAGAAAAATCCCTTTTCCGCGCGCCGTCAATGCGCAATTTGCACAACGAGAAGAGACCACGAAAATAAATTTTACACTCAGAGGCATGGATTTTGCTAATTGCAAACATTGTTTCAGTCCATCCTTTCTTTTTTTTTTCAACGATGTTTTTTGTCTAAAATATTTTCAGATGTCGATCTACTTCGTAGATATTGCTGCGAATTTATTCGACATCTTTCACGCATTTTCTTTTTGATGGATGGCATTTTTTGATCGGAGTTTCATCCCGTCGGAACGACAGTTCAAGCTGACGTCTTTATCCGAGGCGCCGCCCGTCTTCGCGCGAAGTTATCGACGTGGAGCGGCGTAAAAGCTCCGTTGTGTGTTCGCCACGTGCTTTTTTCCCCGTCACGTCGTCGTGACTCGGCCACAAAGGTTACTTACTCGTTACCGGTAAAACTGACAATGTAAAATGTTTTTCCTTCTCGTCCGTTCGGTTTCTTTGTTTCTCTCTCGCCGGGTCGATTATACGAGCTCTCGCACACTCGAGCCATTTTCCTCCTCCTCCTCCTCTTTTCCTCTCTCGTTCTCTCTCTTTCTCTCGGAAACAGCCGTCGCGCGGCTATTAGTCGTGCTTGCGCGCAGTTGAAGAACTATCGACCGCGTGTGCAATTAGCATTCGTCATTATGAAGAAACGAGAAGCAGTCGATTGCGGGGGTCTTCTGAAAGCAGAAAACGCGGAAGAAGGCTAATAGGAACGTTTGTGCACGTTGATGCAATGCGCACAGCCTGTCGGTAATCTCTTCAACGCTTCTTGCCTGAGATTAAAAAATTAATCTATTTGTTTTTCACAAATAATTTTTTCACAATTAAAAGAGACAATAAAAAAAGTCACAACAAAAATTATATTAATCCTAATTCTGTAAACTCCGAACATTAATGTCCGAGCGATTCTTGAAAATGAAAACATATTGTTAACTATTTAGTGAAAAAATTTCTAAAAACTCTAAAAAATATGTCGGAACTGATGTCATTTCCTTAATATAGGAATCGAACAAAGCCCCATGAATTTTTACATTTTTAGAGTTTTTGCAACATTTAACCAATAAAAAATCGCATACAACATAAATATTCAGGGTTTACAAGATACGTACTTTAAAAAAACCGTTTACAGGATTAAATAAATTGACCGCAATACATTTAGATGTACATTTCACACTACCTGTTACGAGTTGAATTACTCTCGCGTTCCACATTACAAAAGATAAGATGTCGTGAATTTAATTCGCGTTGTATACGTTGTATATTCTCGCTCCCCTAAACTATCAAGCGTGCAATTTTAAACAACATCCTTGGGGATGCCTCGCACGAAAACGTGGCATGAATGCGAGCGTCCAACGGGAAAGTGGCACGAGGAATTTGCGAATGACTTTTCGCGGAAGCGTCTCTCCTGTTTGGATGGCTGTCGAGTCGAGAGCTGCTATCGTTATTCGCTTTCTGAAATACGGATCTTCCGTCATGGTTCTTGATGGAAAAATGTAAGAAACCTCTGCGCAGAAACTATGTCAGAAGTCACGTTCACGAAACGACATTTTTGACTAGTCGGTTGACGCGTCATAGTTACAGCCATCGAAATAAAATTCGAAGTTAAAGAATTTAACCAAGAGCTGTGTGAGTTTTAATCCTACTTTTCTGTTTGAATTTACTACACGGTTGTACTGCTCGGATCAATATGACCCGACTTGATGTTATTTTATACATATTTATAGATATGTACATAAAACCAAACTAAACTGTTATAAATCTTTATTCTTGAAAATTTAAAGATTTAATTAACAAATAATATAAATATAAAATACATCCATCAGCCAGAATGTTCGCTTATCACAAAAAAATGTAACAGTGAAGTAAAAATTATTTCGAGTCAAATGAACCCGAACGGACCAACAAAGTTAAAAAAAGGGTTTGAAAGGAGTTGAAAAAATAAATAAAAATTTGTTGTTTAATTTAACAACAAATAAACCGTTGGTAGAAATTATTTATCTCGCACGATGTTTGTTATATTAGACATTATAGTAACATTTGTAAACATGTTCCTTTTAATGAATCGTGTACACGGCAAGTCATCCCTGGGAGGAGACCTCTTAAAATATTGAAGACAACCCTTATTACGTTGTACGTACACACGTTCCGAAAATGCCACAGTCTGAGCTCGACGTTGTAAGCCAGCTTTACGGTTTCGAGCATCTTCTTGCGGGTTCGCAAGCGTCACACATGTGTCCGTAATAATACATTAATTTGTTCTTCTTGTCACGTAACATCGAAACATGCCCGGCGAAATATGCCTGATGTGTGTGCACTTAGCTAAGCATCACAAGATTTGCGCGTTAGTGAAAAACATAATAAGCGCGAACATTTCTAAACATTCTGCATATTGCGGAAGCAAACGAGTTTCATAAAACATTTGCGAGAGAAAGAGAGAGAGAGAGAGAGAGAGAGAGAGAGAGAGAGAGAGAGAGAAGAAAAATAAACTTAGTTGCAGAATTTAAAATAAAAATAAAGCGATGAGCGCGAGTCTACTGCAGCTTCTAGGCGCGTCAATCAAGCAGAGAGAATCGATAAGCAATATCGCGGTTCGGTGATTGACCCGCAGCAACTGCGTTTATCGAAATTGCATACTACATTGCATTCCCCGCCTTACCTTTTATAACGCACGTGCTCCTCATGTGACTCTGTGCATCGTATCGTTTAATTTCGACTCGGTACTTTTCGTCATCGTTTAATTCCATTTTGATGCATTTTCACCGTCATTTCCAGATTTACATTCGACATCTCACATTTGTTGCACGATAGAAAAACAATCTTTGCACTTCTTGTTATTATTTTTTCAACATAATTCTGTAAATAGACAAAAAGTCGTGAAATTTATACATGTTTTCTTGTGAAAAAGACGAGTAATCGCCGCGCAAAATTGAAAACAAAATGAAAAAAACGAGGAAACGTTATTGCACACAGTAATCGCGACAGGAATTGCGGCGAAAGATAGATCGTCGAGAAGCCCGTGCGGTTCTGATTTCTCCCTGCGATGGATCGATACGTGCAATCTGGGGTGCCGCATGAAGATGTTATTATCATTTGACTGATGCGAGAAGGTTCCGGTCGGGAAAATAGGGCACCTCGGGATATTATTATGTCGTATAGACACACACAGAGAGCGTCACACAGTGCAAAGCGATATCGCGAACAATATAATCATATTTACTTTACAATACACATCTCTTTATCTAACACATATTTCGACATAATTCGATGGTTTGCACAGTGGACAAGTCAATTGCGCTTGATGTTCTACGCGCGATAATTGCGCAAACACAATCTTTCAGTACATCACAAGAGAATTTTTTGAGCAACGTTAAAAACGATATAAATATTTTTTTGTATTTTCTCGCGAGACAATACGCGTTCGAGAACGACAAAAGCCAAACGTTGTGCAAGAACACATTTCAAACACTTAGAAATGTGGCATCGCTATCGGAATCGTAGAGTTAAACTTGTATCTTTGAGCGTTTCTCGCCGTCGGAATGTTCGTCAATTTCCAAGTAACTGCGCTCTCATCTCCGAGAGAATCGCAAACTGCTAATTATCATTCTCTCCTCTCTTTCAATCAATTAATCACCGATCGTTTAAACCAATATCCGTAATAAAGTGAATTCGAAAACGCATTTTGACGCGTTAAAACAATTGCATTAAACATATATATATATAAATCGTCACGTGAATATGCGAAAATTTTATTACATATTTATTACTCGGACAGACTGTGTGAATGTAAAATAGAACACAATCACTTTTAATTAGGTATAATTTATGGAACAGTTGTTTTAATTCGGCGCGAGAATTGAAATAATAATTAAAAAAAGACAAAAATAAGTGACAAAATTTCCAAAACTTTTTCTAGACCATTTTGTTAATTTTTTAACTTGGATAACTGCAGAATGCCACTTTGTCTACATTGCTGACAATCGCATCTAAATTTAACTTCGCATCTTTGATAAGATAATTCATTGTTTAATCATCTTTTTTTATTGTGGTCCTTGATTACTTTGGTGATTTCCTCTTCCTTAGAAAGAATTTTCATATTTTCGTCTCACCAGTTTACCGACGAAAGTCCTAACCAAATGGATCGAAACATCTGAAATTATTTAACTAAAGCAAATTTTCTACATACACGAAGAACTTGTATATAGGCTCGTATTAGCCTCTATTCCTTTTTTTATAATCCTGTAAACGTTTTTTAGGCACGTATTTTCTAAATCTTGGACATTTATGCTGATGCGATCTTTTTATTGGTAAAACGTTGCAAAAACTACAAAATTCATGGCTTTATACAACATACTATGTTAAGAAAATAACATTAGTTTTGATAATTTTTTTAAATTTTTTAAAGAAATTCTCCCACTAAGTAATTAATAAGATTTTCTCACTTTCGAGAAAATCGTTCAGACATTAATGTCCGGGGTATAGGAATAGGATTGAAAACACACAAGTGTTCGGAGATAAAATTTTCATTTCATTTTGAAAATTTGAATTTAGTGCTATATTAACGTTACTGTCATTTTCTGAGACGTATGTCCGCGATATAATTAGGCGCACGCGGAGGTTCACTTCCGGTATCACCTGCGCGTATATGGCGCACGTCCGAGCACGATTGAGCAGCGTATCACGTTAACCGTACGTCACCGTATAGTACATGTATACGCGGCTCTTAACTCCGGATAAACTATAGCCAGAACAGACCGTGCTATGACAGGACACAAGCCACAAAGCGGTACCGGTTCACATCGTTGCTGATTATACAGGGTTATAAACTACAATAGCTCATAGAATATCTAAATTGCCACTTTATCGGACCGCATCGGACTTTGCGACGAGTATTATATTGTCGCGAAATCACAAGACGATGTTTGTAATTTTATTTCACACACGTATACGTGAATTTTGTTCACTGCATTGTGTTTGTCCCTGAAATTACAAGATATTTTGTGAAAAATGGAAAATGAAAAATTGTTGAAAGAATCGTTGTTCTTCGCATTCTGGCAATGCAATAATTATTGGATCATGCGAAATTGATTCGGAAACGTTTGCTCAACATTTGGTAGAAACGACAGCAAGATACGAGTGCGATTGCCAGCCGGGGAGGTGGGCGACAATAATTAAAGGCGCGGTCGTATGGAAACCAAGCGAGTGCACTATCGATCCGAATGCATCGATGAAAGCCGCAAGAGCCGACGACACACGGCACAGTAGCCCGATAGACGCGCTATCGCGCTCCAGTGGTCGAACCTTTAAATTAATCGCCGCTGAAACACTGTTGCAACGGCGAAACCGCAGTAAAAATGAAGCGCGTTCGCTCGTTGCGTTCAATTCGCAATAAGACCCACCGAACTCCGGGCTTTCCCCGATAAGAGAACCACCCACTGTCGATGATCGCGTGCTATAACATTCGTGGTCACTCGGAAAATGTAAACCGGTTTTTATTATAGCTCGGCGAACTCCGATGTAACCGACAGAAAATGCGTGCTGAAAAGAAATTGGCCCCGTTTTTTTTTATTCCAAGTCGCACACACATGATAGAAATTACCGGCCGAGAGGAATTGATCGATCAAACAACATGTTCTTGATAGGAAACCCGTCATTTAATCGGAAAATCCTTTTATCGTCGCGACTTTTGTTCGATCTCGTTTTGTCATTGACACAAAGAAAAGAGAAACAGCGATTCCACTTTTTAACTTTATACAAGTTATAGCTGTAATATCCGACATAAAAGAGTGTAATGAAACCTCCCCACGGACGAAAGCCGTTCTACGCAAGAAGAATCGTTAATCGGCTTAAAACTTCCGCTTTCGCGCCGCGCGCGCACGATGAGTCCCGCACGAACAATTTTTAATGCTCTTTGTAATTTTTAGTTACGTCAGGTTTAATCTTGCTATGTAATATTTGTTCGATGCACGCTCACGGCACGCGAGCCGCTTCTTGCGAGCAATAAAACATTTTAAAGTAACTCCATGTAAAACTTGGCTGTAAATCTGTATTTCTAGATTTTGATTACATCGTCATGATTGAACAATTGAAAACCAATAAACTTAAATGATATTTTGAAAAAAAATATATTTAACTCCTAGTGGTCAGATCTCAAAACTGACGACGAGTTAGTCAGACCGGGAATTGTTTTCTAGAAACGTCGATGCGCAATTTCTGAATGGGTCTGGGAGACCCACGTTCGACTACGTGAAGAATTAAGCGAGTTGTTGTATATCAAAATATCTTAATGTTTTTTGTCTATTTTCAATCTTGTGTATTTTGATTGTTTTTTTTACAACTGTGCGTGACAAGCACTTGTTCACCGTTTGCAACTTTTATTAGAACAAATGGATCATGGACGCATATAAGATTACGTCAGAAAGCAACTTTCATTTTACTCAGGGTCTAGCTCGTTTATTCTTCCGGCTCTTATTGCTTCGTATATTCTTTATGCCGATCATAAATACGAATTTTCTGCTCGACTATACGTGAACTCTCTACCTGCCTCCTTTCGATAGGCTCAAATTTGTCGCCCGTCAAGGGACATATCTTGAAGAAAAGCCAACGTGCGCCTTGTTTTTAGGACGAGCTATGATCCCTTGTCTCTATCTTTTTTCTCAGAACAACATAATGGAAAGATAATATTGTCTGTCCGTTGTGTGCGCAATAAACTGAGAGAGATAAATGAGTATCTTATTAGTATTGCATGTATATAAATACACATTAACATATCTTATAATATTATTTTATAATTTTATTAAAAATAAATTTAACAACAAATTTTGGCTCATATATTTTAAAACTATAAGAAGATTTATATTTAAAAAATTCGGCTTTGTGTGTTAGCCGGTGTGTTGCAAATGTTCGCGCGAAATATATTTTTATTTTATTTGTGTAACGTGTAAATTAAAACACATAATTCAAATTAAGTTCAATTTGATATTTTAAAAACTTTTTTAAGTATTTTACATATTTTAAAAATTAAATACTTTAAAAATTAGACACATTGCAAAAGCTAGAAATTTTAGATTAAACGTTGGAACAAAATTTGTTATTATAAATAACAAATAAAAATATACTAGAGAAAATTATTGAATTCTACCCAAATATTTTTTGAAATTTTAGGTAACGCTTTCTATTTCGATCCTCATCAGTCTCCACGTGTTCTTCTTGCTGGTCGTCGAGATCATCCCGCCTACGTCACTAGTTGTGCCGCTGCTCGGGAAGTATCTAATATTTGCCATGATACTTGTTTCGATAAGGTAAGTACACTGCGACATTTATTATTATTTAGTCTTGCGATGTAGAAAAACAAAGAGCGCTAGTCGAAAATGAGTCATCTTTGTCAAAGTAGTGCGCGTTGTGTACACAATTAAAACAAGAAAATATGTTTGCTAGTCACAACAAACAAAAAACACACATTTACACAGCGGAAACAATTTTCAATAAATTCCGATCAACTATGGAAAGCATTTAACGTTGTTCTATTTTGCTATTATCTTGCTTATTGTGTTAGCGCGCTATCAACGTTATCGATTAACGCTTCGGTGACAATTTATCGGCTCGTGTTTACGACAGCAATGATTCCGTAGCAATTAATGTACCCCGTGGAGAGTCGTAAAGGAATGATACGATGACGCTCTCGTTCGCAGTCCGAGAAACGGAAAAACGACAAGAATCCAAAAATCGTACCCTCGCTTTCTCGAAACGGATGCTAATTTCTCGTGCAACAACGAGTGTGAAAACGCATTGTTTGCAGTTATTTGCTCTCTCCATAATCCCAACTAAAATAAGAACAATTGAGAAAAGAAAAAAATGAGGCAAAACTGGAAAAGAAAAGATTGAAGTTAGAGATGCGACAAATAGTACACATTCGGCACTTAATCAAATAATATCGAATATTTGTCAATGTCATGTGCCGAATAAATTATTATAGGGCTTTATATGAAAGAACTATCCATGATTTTAAAATCTCGGCGGTCTAAAGATTAATCAAATTTAAATAATAAAAGTCTTTTATAAGAAATAACTATGTTTAAAGTTTTTTATTATAAAAATCCGGTTTTAATTAATTTAACTTTTTTGGATCTCTTCTAACAAATAAAAAGCGTTCATTTCTTCAATATTTCATTAGATCGCCTAGGTTCTCGTTCTTAGTAAGACTTTGAGACTCGCGTCTCAGATCTCAAAAGAGACCGACAAGTGAGAATATGTCAGACAACGTAATATCGGAAAAGCCCGTTGACCTGTCTGCGTTGAGTTTTGCTTGACCTGCGCATCTGACTTCTCTTTTTTGTGTTAGTGTGTCGGGATACAACACACATTTACTTGAGTGATTAGTCTGTTATTGTATCTTATTGGAACCTTAGTGGAACCTAGTGGAAGCTTACCGTAATTATAGGACGTAACATTACAATTTAAAACTATTCGGTGGTCGGTCGAATAGAACATATGAAAAACGTTGCCAAATAGGCAGAACAGTTGCCTAATATTTATTGCAACTCTGATTGAAATATGTTACGTAAGATTTGTCATAATATCGTCGTTAATACGTTTGTCGTATTAAAATAAATTTAGAAAATGAATCTTTTGATAACTGCATAAAAGTTACACTGCATCGCGTTTAGGCCAACATTTGCAATCGCTGGACGATATCATTAGTAAGTTTTCTTCTCTTTCGTCCACTCTTTCGTTCTGGTAAAATCCTCGTTTACGCTGACACCACTTTGTGGCAATCTGCTGCTACTAATCCGCTTCGGTGCTCCCTTAATTAATCCGAACTTCTCTGAAACCGGACTTTTCTTCTCTTCTGAAAGAAAGTTCCACGTGCAAAAGAAAAGAATCGCGCTTATAAGAACTTTAATAAATTGTCATATTATACGAATAAATTGCGCCCCTGTTTTACAATTGTCAAGAATAATGAACTGTATTGTTACGATTTCTCAGGAATATCTTCTCGACGTTATTATGAAAAAAATTTCACGGAAAAAAAAAGTTTTGCTATTATGAGATCGGATAAGAAAAATGGTCGAGTCTATTACATTTTTTGTTTCATCAACAAAAAATCTCAATAGACTTGGCAATTGTTTTTGCTAGCCGTATACTAACTAATTTCTCGCTATTCTAGCAAAATCTTTTTTTTCATGTTAAAAAGTATGAAATTTTATTGTCGTCAAGGTTTGGAATGTTTGTCGATCGAAAAACTATTTTTTATAGTTTTTTGCTTTTATCTAGCAATAAAGTATAAAAACACTTTTTTAATATATTATTTTAGAAACTTACACCTTAAGAAAAACCGATATTAAATAATCTGCTTTTCTCTTTATATACCACTCTGCAATAACAAAGTATATGAGCACATAAAGCCGCAAGCTCTTAGTTCAAAAGTAAGAATCTTATTATATGATGAAATATGTTCAATTTGTGCTATAAAAGAAGACTTGGAACGTTTATTTATTATAAAATATCGTCTATGTTCGAAAGACTTACTTAACCCTCAGGACCCACACTGGGTTACACTAACCCAGAGCGATTTTCAAAAGCGCGTCTTTTTGAAACGTGAAGTAGGTGGAGGTTCGGACTAGGAGGGGGAAAAAACTTTAGGATTTCCTCTATTGATCCATCTTTCGGCGCGATCCGTGCTTCTTCAGGAGCCGAAGTAGTTGATGAGAAAGTTCGAGTACGGGTTAGGTTAACCCTGTGTGGGTTGCACGTAACAAAAACATAAAAAACCGAAAATTGAAAAGATAAGTAAAAGTGACTATTTTATTTTTAATAATTTTTTATGCATGGGATATGCATTAAAAATAAAGAATAAAAATATATTCATGTTATTTTTTTATATAAAGTGTTTTTTACTGAAATATGTGATTTTGTAATAGACGCTTCGCTTTGTGCTTTGTATATTTCATTGTACAGATAATTCATAACTGTTGAATATAGTAGACTAACAATACTAATAATACTAATAATACTAATGATACTTTTTTGTAAGATTAATAATATGTATTAATATGTATTAATAATATGACAATATTTTATATTCACTCATTGGTAGAAATTATTTACTTTATAATTTCTTTATATAAGAGACATGTGACAACCAACCTTGGGTATAGAGTAAGTATATTGGCAAATTTGCACAATTGTGTTTGGCACTAAATAACTTTTTTGTGTATAAATATAGGTATATGTAATTAATATTTTTTCTTAAAACTAAAGAATGTAACTACTATATAATGTACTCGCTATTATACATAATATTTCATAATATTACGTTATACTCAACATAATACGTTGTACTCAATATTGTACACAATAGTTTTTTTTTTTTTTTTTAATACTATATTTTGTCATTTTGTGCCTCAATCTTCTCTATACTTTTTGCTCGATGACCATTCCAAACTTCAACTACATGAAATTCGGTTACACAATACAATGTCATTCATTAAAATCCTTCACGGTATCATTATTCACAACATTAATTCACATACATAATGTTGATAATAACAGCCGTCGGCGAACGAGATGATTAATATTAAGAGTGAGACTTGGTAAATGACATACACGCGGCTAGATACATATTTGCCACAGTTACGATGAAAACGGTGGTCTCTCACTCTCTCTCTGGTCTTTCTCATTATCTTTCTCTTCCTATTTACGTTACCGTTGGCTGCTCAAATTTTATTTATTCATCTATTTAGTATTTTAGCAATTTATTATCAACAAATGGAATACATGTAAGCAAATATATGTATTATTAATATAGCGTCAGATGTTGCGTTTGATACGCGAGGGTATGATCAAAATGCGTTTCTCATAAATATTGTAAACACAATTCAATATTGCGCGAACAAATAATCCCTCATGGCCAATTATGCATTTATCGAGTTTATTAATTCAAGTTGAATAATTAATGAAGTATAAAAATTTATAAGTATTTTACATTGTATTATACGGGTATTTGCAGGAACGCGACGTACGTTTTTCCGTACGTATATTTTTCGCTGCGTTTACCCAGAAAACGGGTGCTCGAGATCCGAGTCGAATGATGAAGATCCGACCCTCGCGATATCAAAACAGAAGCTTTTTGTTTCTCTGAATCTGGGTTATCGCAAAAATACGAAAAATACAAAAAAGCAAAACTTTATATTGCGAATGTGTTCACGCGAATTATTGATCAACGCGTGTCGTGAAAACGAAGGAATTATTTGGAATTGCTATGTAATGCGACAGGCGTGATTATCTACGAAAATGTATTCTTGGCCACACGCAGCACACACAAAATTATATGGTTCTCTTCCTTAAGGTCACGCTATAATCGTTCGCAGACTGAGCAAACATGAAACTAATCCCTGAACTTGTCGTCGACTGATAAGTCGAGTTGGTGTTTGCCTTCGACACTGATGGTGTGTGTGTGTGTGTGTGTGTGTGTGTATGGGAAAGAAGAGAGGAGGGAGATCCGTACTCAGAGGACCCAATGATAATTAACGGGAATTAGATTTCTGAATTTGGTAATCGGATTTTACGGGATGAGAAAGTAGTGCGGATTAATGTATTGGTATTCGAAACAAGTGTTTTTTTTACATACATACAATTTAACACACAAAATACAATGTTATATATTTTATTTATTATTAAACTTTATGGAGTTTGCTATAGCGATCACGACGACTGATTAATACACCGGCCCAGTCGGTCGTCGACATTTCAGCGCATCAATTTCAGAAGTGTGTCTATTCACACCCTTTTCAAACTACCTCATGCGACTAGTGTGCGCGCACATAGCCCTTTTCAAAGGGACCTCGTTTCAATATTAATGGCGGCATTTGCCGGCTTCGTACACGGCGACATTTAACTAACGAGAGCTGGTCTATCCACGTCGCCATTTTTACGCGGCGCCACGGCATGATGTGTCCTCGCTATCGGTCCCGCTTTTTCGATCCGACCGGGTCAAAAAGACAGTATTAAAAAGGCAGACTAATGAAAAACGAACTTTATGAATACAATTGCACCATTAGAGCTAATATTTATTATTTTTAAACATTTCTAAAAACCTCATTTGAGAAAGTTTTGATTGTATATACCAAGACGTTCGCGAGAGAGAGAGAGAGAGAGAGAGAGAGAGAGAGAGAGAGAGAGAGAAAACGATTGGAAAGTCACAGAACGGTAATAAAGACGACCGGTCGTTTCTGCGGCGCGAGGACGCGGCCTTCCAAACGCGGCAAAGCGCGACATTCGCTTTATGGAGCGGAAAGAAAAG